GAGAGAGAGAGAGAGAGAGAGAGAGAGAGAGAGAGAGAGAGAGAGAGAGAGAGAGAGAGAGAGAGAGAGGATGACTGGATGGATTTGCGGTAATGTCAAAGGTGAACACAAGTGATTGACGGATAAAGGACTTGGTGTGGTATATGCGTTACGATGCAGGGATCGGGATCGCTATGTTCAAGGTGACTTCCGCTTTCGAAATGGTTATTGTCGGCACAATCCGAGGAAGATGGTGAAGGTGTGGGCAGAGAAGGAGATGCGCAATCTCATGCGGTATGTCGATTGGATGATGAATGCGCTTTTTAGCTTGAAGCCACAAACGAGGTTGCAGGTTGACCTAATGCTTTTTCTTCTATGTCAAGTTGTTAACGGATGGAGCACCGATGTGCCATATTTTTTGGAGGAGTGGGGGAGGGTAGGGGGAGAAGGAGCGGGAGGAGGAGAAGGTCGAGGACACAGATGGCTGACTTCCAGTTTTTTGGAGGTCACTTTAGTCCCACACTTGCGGTGCATTGGATATCTGATCGGGTATCTGGCTCTGCCTGGATTGCCCCTGTCTGCTATCTCAGTGGTAGGATACCTGAAAGATGCTAAAACAGTCGATAAACGACTCAGAAGTTGAACCGGACGTAACGGCGAAGTTCATACTGTTTTTCCTATTCCAGGATGAGTGCAATGATCATGCCAAGGGCTGTACCGAAAAGCATTCTTGCCTTTTCTTGTCCTCCTCCTCCCCCCTCCTTCCTCTGTCCTACCGCTGTCGACTCCTCCCTCCCTCCCTCCCTCCCTCCCTCTCCCCCCCTCCCCCCCCCCCCCCCCGACTCACAAAAACGAAAAAAGGCGAAAGAAAATAAGAGAAGGGCTGACAGTCAAATCCTCCACTCGTTGGAGCGAGCGATACTGGTCAGGCAGGTGTCATTGGCCATACGGAGGGAGGCGTGAACTGGGTCAACCATCGTATTCTCTTGCTTCTAGCAACTTGCCGATGGATTGCAAGCGGGCTGACTCTCCCGGGAATGGACAAGGAACCAGGACCACAAGGACCCATTCTTTTTTTCAGAAAACGGAAGAGAAAGAAGAGAGACTCTCTGATTGAATTCATTCCTATTGAGTGCTGTTGGTAATTTATAAAAGCACTTGTGTAGGGGCTTCGTGCAAATGATGGCCAAGAGCTATAGGTGCAGGAATACTGTTAAAACTTAAAAAGAAAAAGGTCCAAAAGACTTTAAAAAAAGTCAAAAAAAAAGAAAAAGAAAAAGAAAGGTAAAAGAATGTCAAAAAGAAAATGGTTAAGAAAATGCATAAACAGCTAGCTTACCCTGGTGGACGTCCGGGACCCTTCTGAATGTCCGGTTTGTCCCCCATTGGACCACCAGGCCAAATGTCCACGCGACACAGTCTGTCTGGCCCTACTGAACTCGACCTAAATAAATTTTATTTTGTTTTGAAAATTTTTCTGTGGGTTCTCCGGCACATGAGTTATATGCCAAAGATGGCGGTGTCAAAAACATGCTCTCTGGTCAACATTTTGTTTTTTCTTTTCCTTTTCCCTGTTTCTTTTATGTTGAGGCTCAAATACTTCGGTTTTTATTTGTTCTTGTGGGTTCTTTGTCAAGTGAGGTATACCCTTATAAATTTTCAGGGAATTTGAATTATGGAAAAAAAGAAAAACTGCTAAAGATTGCAATGTCAAGAAAAAACAAGATGGTGGGTGGGAGAGCATGGTTTTTTCTCAATGACTAAGAGCTGGGAGGGAAGAGTAGACATAAGGGTTACTCTTAACCTCACTATCCAAAACGCTGTAAAGAGCCTTTGTTGCCTAGACGGGTTTCCCACCACGCACCCAATGGATACAACTCTAGTTTGCTCTTCACCGGGTCTCTCATAAACTACTGCAAATACACCCCAGCACTTAAGAATAACGAAAAGCTCTGAATCTCAATCATATATAAAAACTCAATACCAAAGCGATCGATAGATGGGAACACGGCCCAGATAAAGTAAAGCTATGGCTGGCAATTATTTTACCCTTCGCACCCGGGAAACGTTCCCACCGCCACTAGTGAGTCTCCCACTCCTGCTGATGGCGCCGCCACCCATCGGGCTTCAGGGCTTTACAACAATCCGGATACCGAAGACCTACGAAATATCAAACTAAAAGAGCGATCTCAATGACTAAGAGCTGGGAGGGAGGACTGGACATTAGGGTTTCTCTCTCAACCTCACTATGACGCCACCATCTTCGGTGATTTAAAAAAAATAAATTATTTTTTTTGTTCTCTGCAGCAGTTACAACTGCTGCACCCGCTGCATCTCCTGCGGCTATGAACCTGCAGCAGAACCTGCAACTGTTGCAGCAGCTGCAGCAGTTGTAACTGCTGCAGCCTTTTTTTTTTTTCCCCCCCCCCTCTGCAGCAGTTACAACCGCTGCATCTGCTGCAGCTACTGCAGCTAATCCAGGAACTGCAGCAGCGGCTGCAGCTGTACCTGGAACTGTACCTGCAACTGTTGCAGCTGCCACAGCTGCTGCATCTACGGCAACAGACCAACCCACCCCCCCCCCCCCCCCC